TATATATGTGACTATATGACCAATATGATCTGCAACATGTACACTCAGAAAAATGAAAAATTATATTCCATCTATGTATGATATATCAAAGTGCATAAATGCATTCTACTGTCATGTATAACTAATTAAAACAAATTTAAAAGTTAATTAAAAAAACAGTCCACTGCAAGAATTATTTTTATTTTCCTAGAAGACATATATAATAATAATCTTCCTCCCAGCAGAGCCAGCTATGCCTTTCTCTAATACATGCCACCATCTCAGCCACATTTTCATTTCTTCTGTGATGATGTCAGCTGTTGATACAAAGGTCATCACTGTGAACCCCTCAGAGGTCCCTACARAAGATGAGGCACCTGCATTTCCTGATGAAGAAGGTGCTTTGCAGTAACTGGTCGTCTTAGCCCTGTGGTTACTATGGAGAAATCCCATCATGGTTACTGCTCCTCCTAAGGGTTGTCTCATAGTCTCTACTGGAATTGCCCAAAGGGAGAATGTAGGGCAGGACTTCTATTCCCAGAAAATGCCTGAGAAAGGAGAAAGGGAAAAACACCAATCATTTGGAAGATTCTAGATCCTGAAATCCATACAGTAAAACCAGAGAGATTATCCACATAGACAWCTGTCCCTGTTTATCCTGACTCAGCCTTGGTCCATCATCACATGCTCCCCAGGAACTCAAGAGGAAGCCTGGCTGGGTGGTTGGCAGCATCTTCTCTTGGGTCAATCTTCCAGAAGACTAATAGCAGCTCCAGGAGTGTATGGACTGACAAACAGTCAGGTTTAGATAAGAAAAAGTGTTAGTGCATTGCCCATATTATTGTGGCAGATACAGAGCAGGAAGGAAAGGTCAGAAGATCTCTTAAGACTTTGCCTCCCGTTCTTGGCCATATCTCATGTGGTCAGTGCCCAGAATCTAGTTCTCAGTCCTGCTGTTCTAGAGATTTGATTTTGTTAGTATACATAGAAGCAGTCAGATTAGAGTAGGGTGATGAGAACTGACCTGTTAGCCAGATTGATAGGAAACAGCTAAAACAAAAATTAAAACTTCTGCTGGGTGTGTTGGTGAGCACCTGTAGTCCCAACTGCTAGGGAGGCTGAGACAGTAGGATCACTGGAGCCTAGGAGTTCAGAGCTAGCCAGACAACATAGTGAGACTCCATCTTTTTTTTTTTTTTTTCTGGCTCTAGGTTTTGAACCCAGGGCCTCACACATGCTAGATAAGCACTCTTACACACTCAACCCTGAAAACTCATTTTTTAATCACTAAATAAATAAAATTTCWAAATGGACACAAATTATAAGTGGAAGTTCCTTGGTGAGTATAGGGCTAGAGCAAGAAGGAGTGTTTGTTGTATGATCTCWGTGGGTTGTATTTACTAAAAGGACATCTCCCTAAGACAATGCCAGAGCCATGGTAACAAATTATTTATTTGTTTAGCAAGAATTTGCAAAGCATGCAGAGCAATGACTGACACATAAGAGRAAGTCATGTAATCCTTATAATAGATAAAGTATAATCATTATCTCTATTTTAGAAATGAGAAAATAGGTATTTAGTAACTTCCCAAGTCACACAGTATGTGACAAAGTTAGGACTCAAACTCTGACTGCTCTGGAGTCCCTTTAACTATATTTATTTATTTATTTGTTTMCAATTTTCACTTTTTTTTCCTTTTTCTTTTTTTACAGTGTTARGGATTGAGCTCAAAGCTTAATGTTCCACCTCCGAGCCATACCCCAGCCCTTAATTCTTATTCTTGTTGGTGCTAACCATTTGTCCTTCCTTCCATGTGCTGTGCTGGCTGCCTCCCTCCTTTGCAGCTTACAGTATGATTGATGAGAATCTCAGGCACTCCTCTGCTTCTCTCTTGTATTTTCGCTAGCTTCGGCCTGCCTCACTCATCTGCCCCAGGGTGGCTTCCTACATAGTGTGCTGCCTCCTAGTGCACATTCTGTGTAATACAGGAGACTRACATCAGAATGCTTAACTGACCTTTTATTGCTAGTGTCACTTTTATGTCCCACCAAGGAACACTGATTGAAGGTGGGGAAAGAACAACTTCTTTTAGCACTGAGAGATAGGGAGGCTTATGCTAAAAGAGAGTCTCTATCTTTCTGTTTTTGCCTCTGGAAAGATATATGCAATAATCTATATAATATTAGATCTTCAAAATCCTGAGACTCAGTCCCACATTCTCATTTTGCAGATAGAAAACAGAAAGGTTGAGTCTACTTAACTAGGGGATCCAAACAGTTATTTAATGATTGGAGAACATAATTAGACCATTGTTTCTCAGACTCGAAATGATTTTACACATTTAGATATAGAAAGACATTTAAGCTCGCTGGTAGTCTTGGAAGGAGGGTTTTTAAAATAAGTTTCTTTAGCACTTTACATATACCACACACTGTGCAAGTAAAGGGAACCTAGAGACTTACCTTCATGATCTAAAAAACTGTTCTTCAAGGAGCAAATTAACACCATGAATATCCTAACATGCTTCTCCAAACTTAATGCTCATTCATTGTTGTCTTTGTTTTTAGCTGTCCTTGGAGTACACAATTTGCTGAACAATCCAAAGTTTGATGAAGAAACAACCAACGACAAAGGTGGCAAGGGCCCCGTAAGAAGTGAGTTGATGTGGGATTGGGGTCCATGAGGCTTYGGAACCTCACACGTTGCTGGTAGGAGGAAGGCACTGTGTCATTTCACAAGGATCATCAGATTCTATACAGTCATTCAGAACAGAGAAGCTGATGAGAGGAGCTCTGTCTGGCAGTGTAACTGGTASTAGCCTGTGTATTTTGCCCAGAGCACACTTTCTTAGTAGATCTGTTCAGTAAAAAGAGAAAATTGTTGGTTAAAAAAAAAGGTTACATAGCCAGCACTGAAGGTGAAGTTTCACGTTCCTAAGGGTGTTTTAATCGATGACGGTAACATGACAAAGTTCTCTTCTCTGTTCAAGTGTCTTTTTGTCTCAATAATGGATGCTTGCACTAGAATTTGAGTACCTCCTTCCTGCAGAGAGCATGAAGGACATGCTGGCGTGGACTTCCTGGCCCAGAGAAGTTCCAATCCACTGTCTTYTCCTTCAGTGTTTCCTGGAGAAGTGTACAGTTAATTAAACTCTCTCAGTTACGCATTCATCAGTCACCTAAATACCTACCTTATTCCAGAGTGTTCTAGGCTTAGATGCAWATTAAAAATGATTCCTACATAAAGGAACTTATCTGTGCAGAGTAGGGATGGACCCCTAATCAGGCAATCTTTGTACAGCGTGATCCAGGTGCTGTGAAAACTCAYAGCATATCATGGCTTCGCTTGGATTAATTATATTTTATTCCCACTGATGGAGCTTTGGGAGATGCCTTCTAGTCAGTAACGTATTTATGAACTAGCATTTATCATGGGTAATTTAACCAGACAATGAGCAATATCCTTTTTTCTTTTCCTTTTTATTTTATTTTTTTTTTTTCAGATTTTGTTTCCCTCCCTCTCTTTCTCCCTTCCCTGTTTCTCTCTCTCCTATACCAGGGATTGAATGAGGGACACTTTACTACTGAGCTACAACCCAAGTCCTTTTTATTTTTTATTTAGAAACAAGAGTCTCACTAAGTTGCTGAGGCTGTTCTCATACTTGCAATCCTCCTGCCTTAGCTTCCCAAATTGCTGGGATTACAGGCATGTGCTATCATACCTGGCTGGTTTTTTCTGTTTTTGTTTGTTTGTTTGTTTGTTTGTTTGTTCATTTTAAGAAATGGAAATCATTATTTTTATTTATTTATTTTTGTGTGGGCTGCTGCGGATGGAACACAGGTCCTCATGCATACTAGGCAAACACCCTACCACTGAGCCATATTCCCAGCCTTCTGGTTTCTTATGTATTTATAGATATGAAAGGCTCATCTTTTTAAGCTTTATTATCAAAGGGTAGCATTCTAACATGCTTGCTATTAGCAATCCAGTACATGATCTTCTGAGTTGACACACACACACACACACACACACACACACACACAAGTATCATTGACTTCTTTTCAAAATGTGATCTCTTAACAGTACGTGTATGTTTATTTCATTCTTGTAATGAATAGATAGCATCCTGTTAGGTTATTATGCTGAATTTAACTATTTTCACACTGATTAACATTTTGTTTATCAGATTTTGCTATCACAAATAATTTTTCAGTAAATATTTCTGCATGTATATCTATGTATTTATGCTCTCTTCTTCTGTAGGTTAGACTTCTAGATATAAAATTGCTAGGTTGTATAGTATGCAAATTTAAATTTTGATATGTAATATCAAATTACTCTCCCAAAAATATTTGCATGAATTTACATTCTCACCAATAAGATATAAGGATACTTCCCCCATGTGTACACATTGTTGCCACTCTAAATCTTACCATTTTTTAGTTTTTTACTAATGAAGTAGTACCTCATTTTTAATTTTGGAGTTTAATTATTTTTTGTTTCTTGGTTGAGTGACAGTTTCTTTTTTGCCTTTTTAATTTATTTTTCCCATATTTTTATTGGTGTATTATAATTATACACCAATTACTTCTTGTTACATGATCATGATATAATGATATAATTTGGCCATTATCATTGCCCAGTATTTCTCCTTTCCCTCTCCTCCATCCTCCCCCTGCTCCCCTTCCTCTACTGATCTCCCTTCAATTTTCATGAGATGTGCCCCACTGCTGAGGGCCATAGCCGAGTGAGTCRGAATGACGCATGGCATTTTTGCCAGAAYGGAGTGGTTGAGAGGTGACRAGGTGATGCTAGCAAGCCATTGAGATGATAATGGTTATGTTAAGCTGTGTATTCAATTGTAATATTAGACCCCTGCTGTCCACCTCAGCCTGCTACTTTGGAGTTCTGGAGCCACTTTGGAGTTCTCGCAGGGATTCCCGGAGAGTTCCCATTGGTTGGGGAAGTGCCGGAGGAGGGATTTCCGGTTGGTGTGTGGTGTGGCGTTCTCGGGAGTG